ACAGCCTCCCGAGCCAGCCCTGCAACGAGGTCATCCCAAGGATCTACGTGGGCAACGCGTGAGTCTCGGGAGGGCCGACTCCGCAGCCGCTCCCCGGGCGCCCCGCCCACTCGGGGGCTGGAGTGGGGTTCAAGGGCGTGGATGGGGGCGGGGAGAACCTGGGCGCGGTCCCCGACCTGCGAGCAAGAGCGGGGAGCTGGGGACCCGGTTGGAATCGACACCCACTCCCCCACGCGTGAAGCCGAGGAACCAGACCCCGCATGCCCTGAGACCCGAAGCTGCCCCGGCCTCGCTCCCCGGCCACCACCCTCTCTGGCTTCCGCTTAGGCGGGGTCGAGGCTACCACGTTCTCTTAACAGGTGGCAGTGCTGTCTCTTGGCCTCTTGGCGTCAGGTGACAGCTGCCTAGTTCTGCAGTGAGGTCACCGTGGAATGTCTGCCTTCGTTGCCATGGCAACGGAATGACGTTACAATCCGGGTGTGGAGCTTTTCCTGCCGGTGTCAGGAAATCCAAATACCCTAAAATACCCTAAAAGAGGAAGTAGCTGAGCCATGGCTTTCCTGGCTTCTTCAGATAGGGGTTGACTTGGATGGGATAGACCAAAATGTTAAACTCCGCAGAAGACCCGAGTCATCTGAAAATTCCTCCTTCAGGAAATGTGTATATTATCCATCTCTTAGGCGTCCTCCTAAAAAAAAAAAATTTTTTAGTAGTACTATTACTAAGAATTTCTCAGCAGTGGGAGAGAATCAGTGTTAACAATGAAAGAAAGGCTGGTGTGACCCATGTTGGGAGAAGGCCCACGTTGTATTTTCACGAGTGTGAAGACCCATTTATCAATGTCATAAGCTCTGTGGGTACGGTACAAGGACTGCATTTCAAAACTGATGACCAAGCTTTCCTCTCATTTCCATCCAATAGGAAGTGGTGGCCTGGGGTGGTTGAGGGGTTGTGAGGACTCTTCATTGTATTACATCCGCGTTTCTTGTCCTGAACCGAGGACCTGCTGTTTAACCTACAGTGGATCCAGAGGGGGTTCATATGACAGGTGCCAGACACTTGGGGACAGGTTGCATGCGTTGCCTCACTCACTCCCATATGGAGCACCTACTATGTGTAACACACCATGAGCTGTTCATTCACTCGAGATGGTGGTGGTCACGATAATGGTGAATTCCTTGACCGTTGGATTCGCATTAGGAAAAGGAGACATACAGGCACACTGTTCTGTATTCTGTCAGCACTGCCGTGCAGTTTTGCTCATTATCCTGAATGGATCAGTCCTGAGGCTCAGTCACTGCAAAGTCCTAGGGAACCCCTCCCACCCCTCCCTATCCCAGCTACCCAAGTTGCCAGGAGCCTGCTTCCTGGGGCCATCGTGGCAGGTATGATGGTTGCCGTGGAAAATATATTCTTTGCCCTCTATGCAAATCTGACCTTGATGGGGGGGGTGCTCAGCCAGGAGGCTCAACTGCTTACCTAGTGCTGAGAATTGGGCATCCTCACCCACCCGGAGCTAGCTCCTGGACCAAAGGGCTTCAGCCACATCCTCTCGGGGTGGTGAGGGAGTCTGTGTAAGCTGTGTTTCCGATCTCTAGGTTTTATAGGTGGTGTGGGTGTGAGGGTGTGAGGGCCAGAGGGAGGCAGGAGGCAGAGCATGGCTGAATGTCTGGAGAAAGCTTGTCTCCCAGCTCTGACTCAGCAGCCCATGGGAGCACATGTGCGGCCCCTGCCTGTCCTGTCCTGCAGAGTTTCAGCTCTGCTCACTGGGGCAGTCCTGTCCTCTCTCTCCAGCTGCCATAACATGCAGATAGGACCTTGCAGGAGACGCTGATTTGCGAAGTAAAAAATCCTGTTTAAATTGGGACATTGTGAGAAGTGAAGTGAAAGACCTCTTTTACCGGTTCAGTCAAGATACCTTCTAACTCCCATTGTTTTTGTTTGTTTGTTTTTTTGGGGGGGATGGCTACTTGCTCCTAAGTACTAAGACATTCTAGAGAGCCCCAGAAATGTCAATAAGAGTATGTATGGCAGGATTGATCCTTCAGGGAACCTGACATGTGACAGTTTGATTCTTCACTCATTCACCATGTATTTATTCAATACCATGTGTCAGGCACTGTTGCAGGTACCGAGGGGACAGACCACTCAAGGAACTCAGACTGAAGCTCTGGACAGATAAGCATGACCCTGCCATGGGATATAAACACCGCAGAGTCAGGCTCTGTCAACAGAATAGCCCCCTTTAACACCCAAGACTACCCCAACTTGGCATTGTTATCCCCATTTACCAGAAAGGAAAACTGAGGCATAGAAAGGCTAAGTGGCTTGCTTAAGGTTGCCTGGCTGGTAAATGGCAGGGCTGGGTTCAGACCCAGGCACTCTGACTCCAGGGTCTATATTTCTTTTGTTGTTTGAATCTGGGTCTTACTGTGTAAATTCAGGCTAGCCTCAAACTCATACTTCTCCCATGGCCCCTTGAGTGCTAGACTTAGAGCTGTGTGCTACCGTGCCTGACTCTCTAGCTTGGCTATACCATCATCAGAATATGGGAACTGTGATGGCACACACACACTGGAAGGAGCTGGGGAAATCCCACTGAGGGCCCTGCAAGAGGAGAGGTGATGCTTTCACAGAGGCAGCAGAGGGAACAGCATGGGCATGGAGCCACAAGTCTATTTGGGGATGCTGCCTGTCACTGGATATGGCTGGGGTGAGGGGAGAGGTCATGAGACGAGGCAGGAGGACCCACAGGGCACAGTGGGTACAGTCTCCTGGCTTCGCCTCCTCTTCCTCACCCAAGGCTGCCTCTTCTTTTTCTGCCACTGCCTCCCATCCAGGTCTGTGGCTCAGGACATCCCCCAGCTGCAAAAATTAGGCATCACCCATGTCCTGAATGCCGCCGAGGGCAGGTCCTTCATGCATGTCAACACCAATGCCAACTTTTACAAGGATTCCGGCATCATCTACTTTGGCATCAAGGCCAATGATACGCAGGAGTTCAACCTCAGCGCCTACTTTGAAAGGGCCGCAGACTTCATCGACCAGGCCTTGGCTTACAACAATGGTAAGGAGCTTACAGCCAGGACCCGTGGGAGGCGGCTTTGACTTGGGCTGGCCTAGAAAGCAGACCTCTGCAGGTCTTCCTTTGGACATTCTGTTGCTTCCTGACCCCTGTGGTGATGACTGAGGACTTTAAGACTCTCTCTGCCTGGCGGCTCAAGTGGCCCCGATGCACAAGTAGTTCCACTCTTTCCCACAGTGGCAGCACCAGGGGCCTTGCCTGTAGTTTGATTTGGGCAGAGGGTGGCTCCCAACCACCTATCCCTTGCCCCCCCCCCCCGACTCAGACACCTGTGATAATGACAAAGTTTACTAAGGTCCAGGATGCAAAGTCCCGAAGTGAAGGAACCCTGGGACTGGTTGATTCAGCGGTGCCGCAGATCTGGTCACACAGCTTATATTTATATGAACGTGACCAGAATAAGTGAGAGAACAGCTTGCTGTCAGGGGGGTTTCGGTCTGTGGGGAGCCGGTCCTATGTGCATGGACAAAATGTCAGGACAGTGGAAGTGTGTGAGAGAGGAGGCTCTTTACCTCACAGCAGACAGGACACAGAGAGGCATAGTGGGGAAGTAATTGGGGGTCAGC